TGAAATCCACCATGCACAACCACTCAGAGGACAGGGGGCCCCAGACCCCAAGTTCTTCATGTCCATGTTAGTGTAGCTACAGGCTTTGAGCATTTCAAATCTAGGTCACTGATACTTTGTTTCCTAAGGTGCTTGCACCTCTGTGCCGTGGCTATGAAGACTGGTCGACACTTCAGACTTAGGTCGATATAAGGCAGCTTACTTCGACCTAACTGTAAGCATCTACCCTACAACGTTGCTCCCACCAATGTAAGTTGCCCTCTACACCAATCGAATCACTCCACCTCCATGAGAGGCATAGGGCTTAGGTTGATGTAGTTAGGGTGAGGCAGTGGCCATGTAGACAGTGTGTTATTTACATTGCTCACAGGGTTCACAGCTGGAGCCATGCCCGCACCCCGAGCTGTCAGCCCCACGGTTGAAAGACTTCAGCGGTGAGCCGTGCATGGGGCTAACAACTCAAGCTGTCAGCCCTCTACACTGCCCCACTTCAGGTAGCGTAAGCATTCCTGGTGAGGACGCACACCACCAGCAGAAGGAGGGTAGTGTGGACGTGAAAAACCACCGTACTTACACTACTTAAATTGACTTAATTGTGTAGTGTAGACAAGGCCTGCGGGAAGATCTTTGCCCCTCCCAGACCATAAGGCCCCAGCTGGACTGTTGCCTGACTCAGGATTGCAGCTTCTTCAAAGTGGGGAGGGACAGCGTGCCAATGCTTGCCTGCCCCTTCCCTGCCGCCTCCCCAGCAGGGGTTTGATGCCCACCCAATGGCAACCTCAGCTGTGAGAACTCAGCCCATAGAATTTTAGACCCTACAACTTGTCACACCCAGGGCTCCAGTTATGGGAGGGGAGGGGGCTTACTTCTTATGCTACTTCCCTGCTTAGCTGCACTGAGTGCTCAGCCTGCACCAGGTCCTGGAGATGCCTAGCACTGAAGATGCTCCGCTGCCCAGGGATATGCTGCCTGTGCCAGTCCCAGCCGCCCCGCAGGGTACACGAGCCAACTCAGGTCCCAGAAGGTGCTGCTGGGGCTCTTAAAGGGGCCGTGCTTCTTCTGGACTGGTACGCTCTGGGGGCGGACTCCTGGGTGTGCTCACAGTACAGGGACGACCCTGCACTGCGACAAGGGGTACTGGAGCAGGGTCCTCTGTGTGGCAGGACCCAGCTCCTGTATAGAGCCCATGGGGGGCTCACTCCCTCATCCTGCCTGGGTCCAGCCTCAGGGGAAGTCAGCCGGTCCCATCAGCACCCTTCCTACACGGGAGCAGCCCCAAGAGCCACCAGGGCGCCGCAGCAGCACAGCCAGGTTGCTGACGATAACAAGGTCCAGTGACGAGGAGGCAGGCTCTAAGTCTCCAAGCTTCTGCTTGTGGCTGGGGTAGGTCCCTGCACCTGCTGTCTCATCTGCCTTGTAAAGCGCTTTGAGATCTCCCCATGGAAGGGGCTAGACATTCCTCTGATTATGTTTTTGACATTAAATGAACCTTATTAAGGTTGCTTAGTCAAGCACTCAGATGGTAGGAATAGCCAAAATTACAGTCGCCCCTGCAACCTTAACTGGGGCCCTTGTGCTTTACATGCTCTGCACTGAATGAGGCAGAGGCCTCTTGTGGGGAGAATAGTGTGTGTGTGATCACAATCAGTCACATGGACACCTGCCCCCATAACCACAGACATCACAGGCCACCCCTCACCCAGCCATTCCAGGGACTTTCCCAACCAATTAGATGTTTGCAAACCAGATGCAGAGACATAAGGGAGCCTCATGCTCAGAGCTCTGTCTATCTGCACCTGGCTGACAGAGGGCTAAGCACATGCGTGAATCCCAGTCTAAAGAATGCTGATGCTGCTTCCTTTAAGTGTGGATCTGCCTCCTTTGCCTTTGTACTTGCTTGCAAAACCCACTGCAGTCCAAACTTCCAATCCTGCCTTTCCTGAGAGTTAGGGGGAGAGTATTCCCCTCATCCCAGATTGGTATACACACACACACATGCAGAGGGAGACACAGACACACAAACACCTTCTCATAAGAAGGCTTGTGAACAAATCAGTATCCCCGCTCCTGGCTATCATAGCAATGTCTGATTATTATTTGTAGTTTGCATCACATTCGAAAGTTGACTTATCAAAAATTGCATTTCAGGCAAAATAGTTTTCTACAGGAGCTGCACTGCCGCAGGATAGGCATGCATGAAAGACACATTGGGTTCAGCCCTTTTCTTTCATATATAACTGTCTTTGAAATCATAGCAGAGGAAACTACTGAGTCAGGCAGTGCAAATATTATGATGACAAGCCAAACATACACAAATGAAATGTCTATGAACAACATTAGAATCTTTCACTCCTGTGGCTGCCCTTGTCAGGGAGCTCACCTTTTTTCTGCAACCCTGTTATATGGGGATCTCAGAAACACCCATGATATACGCATTCATAAGTATATAAACTGTCTTGGATGGGTGCGGCAAGCCTAAAATAACCCGATAACAGCTTTCCATGGTGAGGTGGTGAGAAAGTGTACTCAGGTGACACCAAATGAAACGAAGCGTCACATCTGGAAAATATAGGGTTTTGAACCCTTTCAGGAGAGATCTGTAAACCGGCCAGTTTGTTTAACTAAGTGACAATTTACGATTAATGCTTGTCTTTTCTGCCCTTGTGCTTAATCACAGACCAGTTAGAGACACTTGTGGCTTTGATGGTATTGCAAATTCTGTCCCAAGAGTTAAAAAATGTGTCCTAATGTGATCTACATTCCCACTAGAAACCTCTTCTTCCAGATAATAGAGCAATCCAGAAAACATGACCAAATGAAATTTGACATAAGGATCTCAGCACAGAAGTTATTCTACTTCACCTGAGTTTTATATAATTCAATTTAGCTATTTTATGATTGTGGGAGAACAAAAAATTGAAATATTGATGACTTGAGAACTGAGGGGTTCCGCCCCCTTTGGTTGTTGCGGGTGGTGCCTTCTCGATTCAAAGATTATTCTGATTTAAAATATAATACTCTACAGATCATTAATCTACAGTGTTGACTCTCCTGTAGAGATTTAAAGGGAACGTAACCAAAGCATTGCAGTTTGGCGTTTTGTTGCAGTTAGTTGGGTTGGATTTGTTTGTTTGTTTTTATGCACACTCTACTGATATAATCATGTTAAATAATCCACAGATTAGGGTTCCCTTATTCTGCCCTTCGCCATGCTAGACCATAAGAGCGCCTTTCGATGATGTCAAGTACCCATATACAAGGTTGCTGGGAGATTTTAAGAATCATTCTTTTCAATATGTGCTAAGGGGAGCCTGGCAGCATGATGCACTTCCAAATGCCTGGGGCAGTGTGAGTGCCTCGTACACTGCTGTGAGATCATACCAGCTCTGATGCAGGAGTTATGACCTCAGTGAAAGGGCAGTAAGGAGTTGCCATGATCGTATTGCTCGCGTGCAGGCTCTCAATGACAGATTTTGTTCTTTTGAAAAGGAAATAAAGCAGGCGCAAACACCTGCTAAAATAAGTGACTGGTTTAAATCCAGACCCTGCTCCCACTGAGGTTAATGGCAAACGTCCCATTGGTTCAGCTGCGGGCAATAGCGGGGTCCTGATCCCCTAAAGTCCATGAGGGAGATTTTTGTCCTTTACTTTAATGGGAGCAGGATTGAACCAGGCCTTCAGTGATTAGATAGCAGACACTATGTGTGAAACAATCCTAGTTCTGAGAAATAACCTAGCTCTTGATGGATTGGTTGATTTATTTATTTAATGGCAATTTTTAATTTAAATCCAATGCTTTAAAGTAAATTATGGATTTTGTTTCCTTTTCCTATACCTGTCATAGAGGTTAAATTTTAACTAAGTAAAAAAGATGGTCAGCTTTGTAACTAACATATATATATTGCATAGACCAATGATAGTTACCTTATTTGAGATAGTCTTAGTTTCTAAGTAAATGCTTTATGCAATTACTTTGGAATCTTAAATTACACTGTATTCTCCTTGTACTGAAATAGGGCCTGATCCTATTACTTACTCAAAGAGTAATACTCCTGCCTAACAAGATCGATAGGACTACTCAAGGAAGTAAAGATTACTCACCTGTGTAAGGGCTGTAGGATCAGGCCCCAACTGTACTATAAAGCCCATCCTTCCTGCCTATGTGACTGCAAAAATCACATTAAAATCAATGGAGAGTTTGAGATGCAAAAAGAATGCAGGACTGGGTCCTATTTCTGCACTCTCCAAAGATAAGGGGAGAAGGGAAAAGTACAAGGAGGACAGAATGACATTTTGCATTATAGGCCACATTGTTAACCCCTTAAACTGAACTGGTGAACAGTTGCTCACACAAGGTGTCCTACTGATTTCAGTAGAGCTGCTCGTGTGACTGACTTTGCACCAGTGGGAATAGAAGGCAAACAGTCTGGCCCCACATGAGTGTGTTTCTTGGGGAGGTAGGAATATTCACCATTGTTCTGCAGAGATTTTAATTTTGGTGTATTTTGTTTCTCTGTGCAAAAGAACAGAAAAAAGGCATTTTCTATTATAGCCTATGTAAAATACAAATCAACAATGATTATAAATACGAATGCTTGCAAATATAGAACATGTTTACCGAACATCTGAAAGCAAATTAAATACTTTGTTATATATATTAACATATATATATAACACAAATATATTGCTGCACTTGTCCTTGTTCAGAAAATTGCTTTAAAGAAAATCTTGGCTATAGGGAAAAATCCAGTTGGTTTTTTTGTCACAGTTTGATCATTAAAATAACTCTTTAGGGTTCAAAATACTCACTAGTAGCAAAATATTCAGAGTTGAATTCTTTAGGGCTTCATCTAAAGTCCTTTTGAAGATAATTGACAGGCTTCTTCTGACTTCAATGAACTTTGAATTAGGCCTTTGATTACTATTAGTTAAAAGTGGTATTTCCAAGAACCAAACTTATTGAAGTCATTTAAGTGAACAACTAGACAAACAGTAGTTTGTCACCAACTTTATTTAAAAAAAAAAATCGCATGACAAACCGGAATGGAGACCAAAATACTGCGTCCACTGTACATCATTCATTATAAAACAAACATACACCACATTTGTAGTCTACCAAACAGTGTATTTTCTTTAAAATTATATAGTGCGTGCTTTTTAGATTCATGCTTTCAATATTTATTTTACATTTGCTATTCAAATATTTTTTCTGTTATAAATAATTGCAACTTGATCAAATTGTGTCCCTGTTATCATCCTATACGATCCTATTCAGTACTGCAATGCGTTTGTTTGTTGTTGTTTTTTTCTTTTTAGACACGAGCAAGCACATCTGAAGTGTAAATAAAGTGTACAGAGGCCAGACATGTCTGCAGAATGGTGACTACTGTCCGTATCTAGATCTTAGAATGCTAGAACAAGTGGCAGGAAAATACATAGAAAAGAATTGTTTCCAAAAGGCACAATTTCCTCGACACGAAGGTACAATACAAAATAGATGGCGGCTAAAACATTGGCGCTTGTTGCGTGTGGACTCGTGCTGACTAGGATTAAACCCCCTGAGGGCTGATGCTTTGGCAGTTCGGGGGGGGGGGGGGCTTTACAAGAGCACTGAACGGAGTGAGAGTGGATGGTTCAAAACAAGCACCCCGTTCTGTCCCCATCCGCAAGGGTTTGTTTCTGAGCCCCTTTCCATACGGTACCCCCTGTCATTTACCTAGGAGGGCAAAGCCCGCTGAAGTCCTTCAAAGCCCGTGTAAACAGAAGCGGATCTGCGCTGTGACAACCCCCACCCCGGTCGCTGGATTACTGATCATTGCCCCTACTGCCGGTTTCCTGGTCGCTCGGGTCATCCGTGAAGCAAACGTCCACGTCGCTCTCGTTGTCAGTCTTTTGCTCCGGCTCCTGGGGCTGGTAGCCGGGCTCGCTTTTGTCCTCGGCCGCCTTGTGGAGGCTTTGGCCCGGGTGCCTGGATTTGACGTGGCGCTCCAGGTCCCTGCGCCGGACCAGCACCTTGCCGCAGAACTCGCAGCGGTAGGGGGTGTTGCCCTCGGCGTGCAGGCGGATGTGCTTGTTGAGGTTGCTGGGGTCGCCGAAGGGCCGCAGGCAGACCTTGCACTTGAGCGGCTTGTAGCCGGTGTGAGTCCGCATGTGGATCTTGAGGCCGTACTTGCGCGAGTAGAGCTTGCCGCAGTAGAGGCAGAGGTGGCCGGTCTTGGGCTTGCCGCCGGCTGGGCCGGCGAGGGCGGCGGGCTGCAGGCTCTCCAGGCGGCCGCGGCTCTTCTCGGCGGCGATCTCGGAGAGCTGCTGGGTGTGCATGGCGATCTCCCGGTCGATGCCGGCCAGGGAGCCCAGCTCGGCCGGGTGGAGCCCCGCCGCCGCCGCCGGCCCGTTGAAGTAGGCCACGGAGTCCGGGTACTTGAGGAGGTTGCCGAGGTGCAGCTTGAGCGGGTAGTAGGGGGCGCTGTAGAGCAGCTCGCCGTTGTAGAGGGTGAAGGGCACGAGCGGCAGGTTGCACTCCCCGGGGTAGGCCTTCAGCCCCTCGAAGGGCGGCAGCGAGAAGCGCTCCAGGTGCAGCCCGGCCCCGGCGGGCAGCGGCGGGTAGCGGCTGGGCGGCAGGCCGGCGTGGTGCAGCCCCCGCTCCACGTGCTTGAAGGCCGAGGTCTCCTCGAAGTGCGAGAGCAAGGGGAAGGCCCGCAGGCCGCCGGCGCAGGCCAGCACGGGCGAGGGGCCCTCGGCCGGGTGCCCGCCGCACTTGGGGTGGGGGCCGCCCGCCAGCGCCTCGGGCCCGCCCCGCCCGGCCCTGCTGCTCCCCAGGGCCTTGCTGAAGCCCAGCCCGCCGGCCTTGCCCTCCTCCGCTTTGGAGAGGCCGGCCGGCCTGAACGCCGACCTGCCCCCCGGGTAGAAGCTCAGGCCGTTGCTCCCCGCCGAGCTCCCCACCAGGCCGAGGAAGGGCCCGTGGCTCCGGCCCGAGCCCACGCTCATGTCCAAGGCTCGCTCCTGCTCCTCTTTCCCCGCCGGCCTGCGGAGCGCCCCCGGCTTGCTCAAGGGCGGCGAGGCGGCGGATTCCCGCTTGATGCTCTCCCGGGCCGCCTGCTGCAGGCCGTGGGTCCTCAGGGGAGCCGCCGCGCCGGGGAGCTCGCCCGCCGCCGCCTTCGGGGGCAGGCTGAAGAGGTCCGAGGAGCGGGCATGGTCCGGGTGGTGGAGGAAGCCGCGGCCGTTGTTCAAGACGCAGTGGAAGTGGACGTGGGCTTTGAGGCTGTTGGGGTATTTGAACGTCCTCCAGCAATACCAGCAGATGTAGCGCTCCTCCCCTGGGAAGAGAAGCGGAGCCCGCCGTTAGACAAACAGTGGCGCCCCACCCGCCTGGGTCAGCGAGAGAGAGGCCCGTGCACACCCTTGTACCCCAGCAGAATGGCCCACTCCTGCGTTAGACAGTCCATGCACGTCCTTTGAATCATTGCTAGGAGGGGTGCAATGGAAAGTCATGCTGCTCTCCCTCACTGCCCACTACTTTTGCTTCCTTCTCTCAAGTTGCACAATAAAGGCCCGATGCAAACCCCACGGAAATCAATGGGAGGTTTTCGGTTAACTGCAATGGTTTGGATCGGATCCTAACTGCAGACGGGTTCTTCCCCCTTCTCCACCCGCCCAGCGCCTCCTTTAACGCCTCCTTGGGGGACTAGAATGCTGCCACAACTTTCTGGTTTGTCTTTTCAAGCTGGGTCACAAAAGCCTCCTGGCCCAGGAGCTGAGCTGAGCTGAGCTGAGCTGGCCTGGCCCGGGCTGGGCTGAGCAGAGCTGGCTGGGCGGAGGTGGACTAAACTGAGTTTGGACTGGGCTAAAATGGGCTTGGGGAAAGGAGAGCAGCTGTTGCCTTAAATCGTCTGTCGCTGGGCCCATCTGTTGACGTTCGCAGAATAGGTAGCGTATGTCGAGGAGTTGACTAAACGGAACAAAGGCCAATCTAATGATCGTGAGCTCCTCATTACCCCGCGAGACAATCTCCTATATGTATAGGCCATATGTAATCATTCCTTTTCAAAGGACAATGCCCTTTGTGCCCCATCCCTAAACATTTAGGCTTCCCTGAAGCGGAACAAACCGAAATGGCCATGTTTGTGTTATGACTTCATGTTACTTTAAACTTAGACTTTTCTTTCTCTTCGTTCTGAGGAATAAAATAAAGCCTGGCCTGTTCTATCAACCCTGACATTTATATGTATTCTCTGCAGGAGATTTTTTTTTTAACTATATATTAGGCTCTCCTACTTACCAGCATCCAAAACGTACAAATTAGATATTTCAAACAATTAAAAAATCATAACAGTAGTAGTGCAGGCTGTACATTCCTGGACAGCCCTAACTTTATAAAGAATACACTAACAGCAAAGTTGTGAAACTGAGCAAGTAAAATAGTATATATTTTCAAGATTGCTGGAAACCTGTTAAAATATTGGCGAAGTATCTTTACAAATATTAAGAGGTGCGAAATCAATCAACCTTAAAAGCGGAGTAAATAAACACCAGAGATTCCTGGTTTGGCCTTTTAAGAAATGTCATAGAAACATAGTTCTAACATGTGTTAAAACGATGCATTAGCTTGAAGCAAAGTACGGAAGAGTGCAAGAGGAGCGTGTAAAATGGTTGGGTTGTTAATGAATAAGTTCACATGGAATTAGCACACTAAACAGCCTTTTAAAAATGACTTTTAATTCAGGAATCAACCAGTGTCAGTTCATTCATTCAGTATCATTCAGGATAAAATAAAAGTCTTTCCACCCCAACCCCCCATTCCTCTTTGGAACACTGTCATGCACACTGAATAATGAAAGCACAGAACAAAACATGGGTTGCGTATTTTCTCTTCTGTTAAGTATTATGTAGTTTCTGTCATGCATAGCGCTCACTAGCTTGCCTTGAAGTGAGTGGTCTTTATGGATCTATGCTGGAATCTTAAATCGGACGTTGTGTGTTTTTTCGCACTGCTGGGCTGAGCTGGGGGGGAAGGAGGAGTGAGTCTGCCGAGGCCTTAATTGCTCAGTTGCAGTGAGTCTGACTCTGATCCATTTCAGTAATCCCATTACCGTGCATTGAGATACAGGTAAACTAGCTTTAAAAATGAAAAGGCTTGCAGTTAGAAACAACCTCCACCGCCTAACAAGCCTATTGTGTTGATTTAGAAACTTCTACTTTCTGGCTCTTTTCAAAGAAGCTGCGTGGGTGTTTTCTGTTCCTAACAAAGTAGTTGCAATACCAACTAAGATTTGTTCCAAACGCAAACGTATCCTGAATAAAAATGGATGACTCTCCCCTCCCCCGCAACTGTTTCCAAGCAATGACCTAGTAAAAAAAAAAGCCTTGTTTATAATGTTACATCAGTTTAAAACTAAATTGATCTAGTTAAAAACGTTGTTCAACAAAATCGGCTGCCTAGAAGTTTCTTCTTGCATTTTTTCAAAATGCTATCCACAAAAGTACATAGGTGCTGGAACTAGGGGTGCTCTTGCACCCCCTGGCTTGAAGTGGTTTCCATCAACTACAGTGTTTATAGTTTGGTTCAATGGCTCTCAGCACCCTCACCATACAAATTGTTCCAGCACCCCTGCAAAATTAGTAATAACTACACTTACATCTTGTTTCACTTATACAGCCCTCACACTGTATTGATTAGTCTGAAACTTCACTCTGGAAGTTGGGAAAGAGCTGATTTTCAGAATAAGATTGCATCATATGTGCTATATTTACAATGGATTGGAAAGGACATATGAAATAAACGTGTGTATTTTTACAGTGGAGCAGATTCGGTTGTCCTTATTCTGAAAGAGCAGTGCTGTAGTACTGTACTCCCATTGGACTTAGTGAGATTACTTGTGGAGTAAGGTACAGTAATATTCGAGGTGAGTGCGGGCAGCAGACAGACTACGTAGCAGATCTTCTCTCCTTCATTGATTTTGTTACAACGGGTCAAATTCTGCAGGCCTTACTCCGGGCAGTAGCCCCACTGGCTTTAATGGGATGAATACGAATTTGACCCTGAGTTTGTTTCTCATGTCGCAGTATTAGTTATAGAAATGATTTACCTCTTTGTAGAGTGACATAAACTAGTAATGTTAGGTATTAGTTTAATAGTGCCTCTCAATATATTAAATAACAGGCCCTATCCTGAATTCCTTCCTGAGTGCTCCAGGTCCTGAATAAGCTCCAGGAGATGATCAGCACCTTGCAGGATCAAGACCCTCCTCCTTACGTAGGGCACTGATTTATGTGGGAAACCGTCTGAGCAAGAAGTGTGTAGACAGTGCGGGATCGGGCTTCTGATCTGTAGGAATCATGTAATCAATGTGCGCTGCTCATTTCCTCTTTGAACAAGTCTATTCTATTATCAGGCTCTTTATACCTAATCTGTGCAGGGAAATTTCAGAGCAGCGATGAATATATTCAGGCTCCAAGCAGAGTGACTAAGTAGACCATCCCCAAAAGCAATTTTCAAAACGAGCTTCAATCTGTTGCCTACGTTTTCACTAGGAAGAGTTTATTCCAGTTTTGCAGAGACTTGTATGAAATACTCAATGTAACTGCTCTTAGAATACAATTCTACATCCATTGAAACCCCATCTCAGCTACAAAATGCCTGCACATGGAAAACAGCACATGGAAATATGCTAGCTATCAGATTCATAGGAAACCATTTAGACAGATAACTGAAATATTTTCCTACGTCATATTTCGAAACATACGCTTTCCCCCTTTCAAAAACTACCGGGTTAATAATTTTAAAACATCGTTTATGTTTACACTACAACTTCGCCTAAAAACAAATTGCAGATTAAAATAATTTATCCAAGACTGATGCATGCCAAGTGCTAGTTTGCTAGTGCACATACATAAACTGAATTTAACTCCCACGTTATTTTTAATCAGTACTAATTTGCCTAAACTGACCATTACCCTTTTAAAACAACTAAACGAATCTGAGGAGTCGCTGGAAATTGTCCCATATTTAACCTGAACATGGAATCTGAAGCTGTGACAGAAGGGAAAAGGTGAAAATAATGTTTTTAAAGGGCAGTAAGATAAACTACTGTATTGTAAAAATAGAGAATGATTGTTTTATAAACGATCTTAAAATCCCATTTTTCCTTTGAAAATTATAAGATAGTGTCTATGTTGAAAACAATCTCCTTATCTGAATCCTGAAATGTATTGTCAAATTGCTGGCTCCGCTTATTTAAAAACAGCTTTTTAAAAATAAGCAGAAGGAACAGATGACCAATTAACAATAAAAAGGGTGGCTGATTAACAATCGTTGTAACTGTGCGGGTATTATTTTTAAAGGTTCTGTTTGCAAACACGTATTTTACTTGCTTAGGTTTTCTAACTGCAGTTTTATATCACAAAGTGGATGCTAATTATAACGTTGCTCTGGAGAAAAACAAAGCAAAACAAAAACACCTTTGCAGTTGGGAAATCGGCGTGAAGCTCTCTGTTAGAAAAGGCACCTGTGAGTTGTATTGACTTCTACGCAGTAATTACTGAACAGAATAATAAAGTCCAAGTTACTGTACCTTTCTCGTCGTGTGTCGGAGTAGCAGTGATTGGGATGTCAAACCACTGAGCCAACGAGTTTGAATACCACACGGTCAGCTCCTCCCCTGGCTGGACATCTCTAAGCGCTCTGTAGAAAATCTATTCGAAAGAGAGAAAACCTTATCAGTGCCTTGTCCCTTACAGCAACTCAACGCTGTTAAAGAACATTCCGCCAGAACGTAGCCCGCAATCGAGAGAGAGAGAGAGAGATACCTGTCCTCCTGGTAGATCTGCAATAGCTTCCAGAGTCTGTTCTTGTGTGTTTCTGGCAGCCCGGATTAACCCTATCCACTCCAGAGCTGAGCCCCCGGCTTCATCCACTAATTCCCCTCTCACCATCCGTACCTAGAACACAGGCATCAGCCACTGTCATTTCCACACAGGATTCAAGCAAGGCAAAACACAAACACAAATCCTTTATATAAATAAAGCCTAAACGTGCTCCTTACTAGCAACCCTTGCATCATCTTCCCAGTCAGGGAATCGCTGGTTTAAACAGTCAATATATAAAGGCCGAACAAGTGTTTGGAAATAACTGCACACCGTTTGATAGTGGTGAAAGAGAAAGAAGCAGCTAATTTATAAGAGCTAGATTTTGCCATCCTTACTCATATTGAGAGTACTGTGCATTGAGATAAATGAGATTGCTCATGGAGTAGGTTGTCATTCATTGTGAGGAAGGATAGCAGCATAGCCTGGCTCTAAAAGCTGTCACTCTTTGCATGATTGTCAGAACAATTCTGTGTAAGTAATTTCTCCACTGGCCAGCATTTGCTAAAATGTATCTTGTTCAACTGCTGCTGCTGCCTTTGGTTTTAAAGTTTAAGATCATTTTAAAATGCACAGGTAATATTTCAAATTCACGTTTCTTAATGAGTGCGGTTTCGTGCCTTACGCCTGCAGTGAAGCAATTGTAAAATACGCCACTTGTCAGAAGAAAGGAGGGAGAGAGGAGAGAATTCTGCTTAGCTACAAAGTCTCTGTGGCCTCATACTTCATAATCTGCTTGCCCATACAAAGAGAAAATGAAGTGCCAGCTCGCTGAATGACCATGTAATAAAAGTCAATTGAACAAAGCCCTCTAAAGAGAGAAACCAATGGAGCCAGATGAGAAATAAATTTGAGGGGGCTGGCAGAGCGTTTAAAAACAATTAAAGGGCATTAAAAATCCGAGCGGAACTTATGACCAACCTGTGCACTGAGGGAAGAGGGGGAATAGAGGGAGGGTATTTGCCTTGTGGCCATCGCATCCATAGACCCATTTACAACACAAGCCAGTTGAAACCACTCTCTAGCAGAATTTGCTGGGGGTAACTAGTTCATCTCCATGAAATCCCTTTTGTTTATTAGGGAAGATTTTGAAACTTTGAGGTGTCTGATACTGGAAGCCTGAGATAGTTTCCGCATTCCAGACTTACGGAGTTCTAACATCAGTCAGTTCCATCAACTACACGCGACTGTGTTGATTTCAGTACGTCTCTACTGTACATGTATTTGAGCTCTAAGCCACGGGTTTGTTTTCAGTAGCTGGAAAAACTGCCCTTAACTCTGAGCCTTGGCTCCGCACAGGCATCTGGGGCTTGTGCTGTATCTGAAAATGACCTAGCCCCTGGAATATTTGCAAGCCAATCTCATTCTCCCATCCGCCTGCGCCCAGCTCGAAAAGGTACAAATTATTACTGGAGCTGATTTCGATACCGGCCGAAGAGAAGACGATTTTTAAAAATACGAATAAAAAGCAAGAGCTGTGGTATCCCATATGGCTTTGGCTGACCTTGTCGCTGTGGCCCCATCGTATAAACACCACATAAAAATATATATCAAGGAAACCGTGACAAATCCAGGGACGCTTGGACGGAGAATATGATTTCTCTGAACAGGTCGGTGATTACGTTTCAGACCAAAAGGGAGAAAGGAAGGAACAAATCACCAACAAGTTAGCGAAGCCCCCCGTGTAACCGCGTCTGAGAGCATAGCCAGCGCCACAAAACTGCAAACTAGCGAAACTCCCTCACACCTAAAACCAGGGGCAAGCACCTCTTGTGCAGGATACATCGAAACAGGCTCTCTGCAATCACGGGCTGTGAAATGTGCCCCTCTACCATCCCTCTTCTCTTTGGCTTAATGAAGATCTCAAAGGCAGGGACATATCCTCTTGTCTGAAAACACCGCCACAGCCCCTTCACCTTCCCCCTACCAAGTCCAGCCTGCCGTAACACTATCCAGCAATGCAGGGAGTGGGCAGGAAGGCTGGATAGGTTTTCTATACATTCAATTTCACAGCCGTAACAAGGAATCTTGGGACACTTTATCAAACGCTTCCCTTTCTTTCCTGGTACTCTGGCTTGTTCTAAAAGGCAGGATGAACCGAGGAGAAGGCAGCCTCTTCTCCTAAATACAGATCCCCCTGAGTCACTGTCTGATCAAACAAGGTCCAGCAGTGCAGGTGAGACCATAGGAAATACCTTTTTTTTAGGTCCTGGCTCCCTGCGGTCTGACAGGTACTTGCCCAGTTTGAAGATGCCCGGCACAGGACCCAGACGCAGTCCGGCGGGGATGCAACTTTCTGCATTCACGCTGATGGCCGGAGCCCTGCTTGTTTGCATTGCTGCCTCTGGGTATAAGGAATCAGGAACCCAAAGCACTTAAAGGGGATGGAGTGACAGAGACAGCCAGCGAGCAGGATGAACACAGGCTTATCTCCGCCTGCAGAGTGACGCGGTGGTGTGTGCACGCCGGCTTTTCAATTGGAGCAGGAGGGGTACCCCTTGGCACGCTGATGCTCTAGGGCGCAGAGTTTGGTGAGAGAGTTTAGCTCTTACAGCAGCTGCAGAGTTCCATCCAAGTGGGTCACGTGGAGCCTTTCCCTAACCCTCCTGCATAATCAAGTACTTTGAATGGCTAGCAAACAATGGTCCAGGCGACCTTCCCATTCCTAAAAATCCAATTTGTCAAGGGCAAAGAAAAGGCGCTGGTGAATCAAAGGTCTGGAGGGACCATTAATCCTCAGCATGGGGTATTGTCCCCTAGACAGTTACGATATTTTAAGTGACAAATCCACTGTATAATTTCTCCATAAATTTTACTTCCTTTTATTGTTCCTAGACAAACCAGTTTTGGAAAATAAGTGACTATTTTAAGTCTACTTGGCTGATTCTTTTGAGGTTTAATATACTTCAAAGATTTTTAATTCTCTTCCCTTGGCTTTATTGTAAAGGAGATTAAACAAAGAGATGGGGAATGTTTTGAGGACTTGTTAACTTCTATTGATTCCTGGCGTGTGCCATACAGAAATTGGGCAGGTACTTGATGGGAAAACACCAGAAAATACCTACACTTTTAAAAAAACTAACCCAACCATATTACCATTTCAGTGGATTGGTTTCAGGCCAGTAACCTATTTATAACAGCTCTGGTCCTTAACTTTTACTTTCGTCTGGGATGAATGGCACAAAATATGAACCATTGTTGTCCTTTTAAATCACGAAGTGTTGCATTTGTGAACACCGTGGGAATTGTTTAATTCGTGTTGTTAGAGAAACTCAAGAGATGGATTCAAACACAAACAGACATCACAGAATGCTAGAGAGGATAATATATGTTTTTGTACCCCTTCTAAATTAGTACTTCTCCAGGCTATTTTTCCATATACAAAATTGCTCCCACTGAGAATACTTTTTTAAAAAAAGTTTTAAAAAAATGTAATTTAACCTAGAACAATGTGTTTCAGACACAATCCATGATTCCAAATGATGTGCACTTTTTGTAAAGGGTGAGCATATTTTAATTACACAAACATGGAACACTGGTCTACAAGAAGCTTACAAGTTCATTTGTAGCGCATAAAAACACTTAAGAGAGTTGAGGGGCCGGAAGAACAAGATTTTGGAACGGGAATGTATCGTGATCTATTCATCGGACACACACACAAATTCCAGATGTGCACAAAATACTAAAGAGTCAATAACTGAAACTTCTATTTGCGCTTTTATAATTTTTCCCATTTCTAAATAGGAACCTCTCTGTAATATATGTGAAGTTGATCTAAATAAGCGGCATATGAATGTTTCTTTCTTTGAAGAACAGCTGCATATGCATATTTTAGACATTTCCAATAGCAAGTGCTCTCGGTTTGTTTGTTTGTTTGTTTTTCCTGTAGTTTGAGAAATAATCCAATACTAATCCGTTCAAAAACAAGCTATTAAAAAGTTAGCATTTTAGTCTTTTAGGTACAGCTCAGGATAGGCGATATGAAACTGAGTAAATGCTATGCAGGCAAGCAGGTAGCTCTCAATATCTCATCATAAGGTTTGTAATCGTTATTTTGTTTGTTTGTTTACAGCAGCACTGGTCAGTATAATAAATATTAGTGGTGAGATGGCGCATTTTTCTCCACGACATGGGATAAGCGGAAAAGCTCTTTAGAAATAAGTTGATTGTAAATGAGCCTCATAATTCTTAAATCTGCATGATCTGTGTTAGCTTGACCTAAGTATATATGAAGACGGACATCGTAACACGCGGTGCTATGACACCAATTAAGACAGGCCATGTCTTTCGAGTTAATGCAGAGCTTAACATGGCAGTTGATTATGCAGACAGTTAATTTCATCAAACCCATCTTCTGTCCGCTGCAGCAACAAATTGGTGTTTGATTGAATGTTAGGTAGCTGCCACATGTCAGACATTTAAAAGTATTTGTATATTCACGTAAATTCATGAACTTTAAATATTTCTTCGGTTTAAACACTGCAGTGGCTAAATGGCTGAAGTCCGGTATCATGCCTCTAGGACATGGCGTTAAATCCCTGTTTACCTGTTGTATTTTGTTTATATGGCTATGTCCACAGAGATGCAAACCGTGGGTTAGACTGTGGCAGCACGGGACTTTTGCTGCAGATTTGAATGAGAGCAGAATCTGCCCCTATTTAAATAACTAATGAAGAAACCCGGCCTAAGTGAAAGACGGGGAAAATGGCTGTGGCAAAATGCCTTCTCTAGTCCCAAATTGTTCCCCTGCACTAAATCAATGTAGGTCATGGATACATTTTCAATAACGATACATTTGCGCGCGCACTAGGCAAGCAGAAACAAATGTAAACGACGTCTGTGGAAACATTAATGATTATCGATCATTCCTCTCCATGGTGTAATTGTAGGGAACATTCTGAGAATAGGGTTCGGTGTGGACTGCAGCAGGGGTGGAAAAAAACTGAGATGACCCCTTTGATCAGCAGCATGAATGGGGGGGAAAGGATAAACAAGAAGTTGAGGGCAATAAATTTAAGCCATGAACATGTCCCTATAACCTCTGGCCTGGCGACTTTAGGATGACACCCAGTTTAAATTGCAAGAGCTGCAGAGATAGAGAGACGGCTTTTAAGGAAACCAAGGTACCCTACCGCTCCATTTGGGGAGCTGCTCCATCCCCTCCTTAATGAGTCACAAAGCGTGAACGACACGCGAACAATTTTATCAATAGGACCATGTAAAGGCCGACTGTGAGGAAAGTTATTTATTAATATAGCCAATTGTGGCTGGTTCCCATCCACTCAGAAAAGAAAAGCCCTGCTCTGGAAGCATTCACACCAGTTCTCCAATTTTTATTCTGTCCTGTGGCTCAAAGTTGAAGTTCCCCAAGTGAAATAAATTGTCCACAAAAGAGGAAAGGAACCACATTTTCTTTTATTTTTCCTTCCCTAAAAAGGAAGGGTGAAACCGATCTAATGTGCCCACTGGAGCAAGATGCAGCATGAAAGGCCGGGTGTTAAAAGTAAAAGCAGCCTTTGGAGCAAATGGGATGGAAAATTAAATGAAATTAAATAGCTTGAACGACCGTATTGTCCCTTATTAAAAAGACACATTAATTACATGGTTTCAGCTTTATTCAAAGACAATGTTTAGACTCAATCAAAACGTTCCACTCTCGTTTTTTTATATACTTAAGCTGGGCTGCTCGAAACACCATTAAAGTGAAATAACTTTTGCCCAGAGATTTCATGAAAGATATTTTAGCAGTCAGCCCTTATTTATGCCCACCGCTGAACTGCCAATGCCCCTGCGGAACACTCTGGCACAGTGTTCTTTTTGATTTAACAGGTTGCCCCATAATGAAGCATGAATGTTAAGGAACAACAGTCATCCAAAGAGGCACAGTTGCAGAGAGCAATGTCCCACCAGGGAGCTCCATTCAAATCATCAAACTGCTCCAGCACAGAGAAGGTTCAACATTACATTCAAACCAGCATGAATGCCTGTATACAGGGCCAGCTTCATTATGTTGCAGAGAAACACAGTGGACGCTTTAACAAAATACTGCCCCTTCATTCACTAGTCAATATTCTCGCAGTAAATTGAAGCAGCCAATTCCCCCATTGGCCCTTTTTGATTTTTTTATCCATTTCAGAAAGGAAAACAACCGCTCTGCGAGCGATGAGCCTGGCAGATTCGAAATGATCCGCTGTAATATTTCAGATTTCACATGCTTTGATGCGGTGCCACAGTCTTTGGCCACACTACACACACATATACACACACGCACCCACACACACAGAGTGTGCATAGATCACAACACTCCGAATTACATGCGAGCCCTTTTCCACCTCATAAGGCAAAATGCGCATTTAAAACAGACCCGGAGTTCTTTCATAAATCTTCGCTTTTAATTTAAAACTTCCTTGGCCCTGGAGTATCCAAGCACAGTTTTAAGCGTATTTTTTCTGTCTCGTTTCACTTTTATAATAATAGTCGTAATCAGAATGAGTTGTTAATATTAATTGTTACCTATGTGAGGCGGCTTGGCAGAGTGATAGGACCGGGGGTAAGCGCTAAAGGCTCCTAACGAGCTGTGCGGTGCGGGGCAGACAAGATGCGGGTGGGATCTTAAAGCAGCTTTTGAATAGTCATTAAGGTTCTATGGGAACCCCAGCAGATGACATGATCTCAATTTGGGATTCTTATTCTAAGGGACAAGCAAGCTTCATTCGAGATCGGGTTAAAATAAGTTTGGTGCTAGCTAAAAATTCCAGCGTAGGGTGGTTGTTTTTTAAACGCAGTTTCAGCTGGAAGCGATGCTTGCCACAAAAGGTATTCAAAGTCCGTCTAAAGTTGCCTTTTAACCGGATTCTCCCCCCGAGCCCCCAACTTATCTCTTGATTCTTTCGGTTGACATGGTACAAATAAAAGTCAGTAAACTTGTTGCTGAATTGCAATGTTTCGGTGTACCTTATAAATTCATACCTTTTCTCCCTCCATCGCCTTAGAATGAGCCCCTGTCTCAATTCGATTTTCCTTGCTGTTGGGCACATTTAGGAGAGACTCTATTTGTGAAGTTCATTTCTAGGCAAATGTATTCAAGAGCTGATTGGGATGAATAGGACCGTGTGTCAGCCGCCCCTAATTGGGATTAAAGCACTTAGGACCATATGCAGAGAGTGACAGAAATTCTCAGGTTTCATTGTATGCAGACTTCCACCCGCTTGGACACTCCTCCTCGAAAGGAGATTTATAAAGATTTCGGAGAGAAACTAAGGAAATAAAAGAGAGACAGAAAATGACCGGGCTAATGTCTCTCGGTGGGACTGCCAGCCCAGCAAATGTTCATGACAGCTCCTGAGAAAAGATGATTAGAAAGAAAGCT